ACGTAACTGTTCTTCCAGAAAAAAGCAACAACCCAGTGCTCTTCCATTTCTCTTCCTTTATAACTGAATCTTGTGTGAAACACCACTGTGGTGCTGATTTTTGTTATAAAACACCCTGAAGTTTGTAATATGAAATTCCAGTTCCATGACACTTTTAGGTCACTTTTCACCCTGATTTCACCCTGGTTTTCAGGTCACTTTTCACCCTGGATTTCCCTCGTTCTGCAGGTGTCCCACAGGTTCAGGGAGCTGATGAGGCTGTTCCACACATCCTGTGATGGCAGCTCTGAAGATGAGGAGGATGCCACCAGCACCAGCAACACAGACCAGCTGTCAGATAAAGATCTTCTGCTTTCTGAGGAAGAACCTGATGACTGAGGTGATAAACTACTGACTGCACCAGAAGAGGGTTTTTTTTTTGTCAGTTTGCTGCTAGACAGGTGCTGTGGAAAAATGTTTGCACAGGTACTTGAGACAGCACCTTCTTTTTGTTTTGGGTTTTTTTTTTCTTTTTTTGTTCAATTTCCTGCTGCACTTCCAGCCTGTACCAAACCAAAGGCAGGAAGTAAGATGAGAATATTCTCTAGAACCTCCCTGGGGAGCTTCAGCAGTGAAACAGAAGTTCAGAACTTGTTCAACAAGTTCAACAGAACTTGTGGACACTGATCTGGGCTTGGGGTGAAGGTTGGGCCCGGCAGCCTCTGACCAGAACCTGTAAATATTGTACCCTAAAAATGTCAGTTTTTGTGTGGAACAATCTGTTGCCTTTTTCCTGACCTGGAAATGAAACTCAAGATAATTTTAGTAAGAAGGTAATATAAAAGAGGACCTTTATTTGAAGGCCTTCAGGAGCAGTTATGGAAAGATGTCCACAAAAGCCCACCCCACCAAGGGTGAGTACATTTTATAGGTTTTAGGAAATTAGCATAGTTGATAAAAAGCACCAATTAGGAGGACAAATGGTGATGTAATTCCTCCCCAGGTCAAGCCCCTTCTCTGGAGTTTCTATGTGAGATAGTTACAATCTGAATTCTTTATTTATTGTGTAAGCTTATTTCAGTGGGCAGAGCAAATCCACTTTGCACAGCTGAAAAAACCCAACCAGAATACATAAAATCAGCCCCCAAAAAAGCAGCTTTCCTTCTTTGCAACACAGCTGTGAGAACCTGGAGAACTCAGGCCAGAAGTAAGAAGATTTTTGGTGAAATGAGAAGCAGCTGCGCCATCTCCAAAACCATTCCCTTTATTTTGGGAGTGATCTTAAAGCTGGGTTATTCTGAGTCTGCTTCATCCTCAGATCCATCTGCTCCAAACCCCATCTCATAGCACTGGGCCAGGGTTTTTAGCTCCTCCAGGGCCTCCTGGAAGTCGTCCTGTTCCAGCCCAGCCGTGCCGGAGCTGCTCCAGCGCCGCGCGCTCGGCGCCTGCAGCTCCCGGCACAGCCCCGAGAGCAGCGAGTGCAGGCCAGGGCAGCTCTGCAGGGCTGCCAGCACAGGAACGCTCTCAACACCTGCAGGGTGAGACACAGCAGGGCTTAAATCTCACCAACATCTCATCCCCTGCTCTGTGCTGCTCCACAAGCAGCTGCCTTGAGCTCGCCGCTCCACGCTCACAACTCGTGCCCTCAAACACTCCACACTGGCTTGGTTTGTTATTTATGTAGTAGTTTTTATAAATAATTTTGTCATTGTTAGGCCCTGATTTCTCTGTTGCAGTTTAAGGGGTGTTTATTACCTGCTGAGGAATAGCCCTGAGCTTTGTCCAGGAGGAAACCTCGTCTGGTCAGGAGAGGAGAGAAGAACTGGGGGAAGGGAGGCCGGGTGTCACAGGGCTGCTGGAGCACGTGGGCTGTGCTGTGAGATGAATGAAGTTACCAGAGCTCCCTCAACTGTTCCCAGTTCTAAACCAGCACCCCCAGCCTGTACCCACCTGAAAGCTCCTGGGAACTGGGTGTGGAGGAACTGCTGCAGCACCTCCTCGGGGCTCTCACACCGGTGCAGGGGGGACCGGGGCTGGCCTGGGCAGCTGCTGCAAAGGAAATTCAGCGTTTTCCAGCCTGAAACCATCACTGCCTCAGCTGCTTTTTAGCTTTTTTGCTCTGAAATTAGCAGCACTCAGTCACTAGACTGCTCCTCCCTTCAGCTGTGTCTCGGAATGGAGCGTGGATGGCTCCAGTGAGGAATCCCTGCAGGAAGTGCAGTTCAAATGCTGATTTACCTGGTGGGTTTCTCTTGGCAAATTCCTCGTAGCACAACAGACTGAGCAAAACAGCAGCTGACCTTTTGCTCCCTCCACGAGGACAGAAGCTTCCAGGGCAAATCCTGCTGGTGGGCACTTAAAATTTCGGGGAGCGAGGAGCCAGGTAAGGCAGGGAAGGGAAGAGCTGCCCACGCAGCCACAACCTGGAGTTGGGTGACAGAGCAGGGTCTGGAACACGCTCCTGGCACTGGGGGTGTGCAGAACAGCTGCAGCACAGCTGGAAGTTGTCCTCACCTTCCTCCCAGAGAAGGTGAGGGAGTCAGCAAAGTGCATCATGGAGCCCTGGGAGGACCAGAGGCGGTAGGGAGCCGTGAGGGTGTCGAGTGCCGCTGCCAAAATCGCGCTGCTGTGGTAGTTCAGGGATGCCTGGGGAGGAGACAAACGCAGGAATTGCAGGACAGGTCACAGTCACCGCTTCCTTAACCCAGTTTTGTAAACTGTGTCTTTAAAAGAGGTGTTTAAGAGTTATGTCAGGGCTGGGATAAGCAGCCAGTGTCTAACTGTAGTTTGCTAACAAATGCTTTGGTGCCAGTTTCCTTATCTTTCCTTGGCTCCTTGGGGCTCCAGTGAGGCTGGAATTACTCCAAGCATGGAGAATAACGTAGTGAAGCCTTTTCTTCAGTGCCAACACTGCAGGCAGCACCCCACCAGCAAGCACAGCACCCAAGGAAATGTGTTAATATTTTCAAAAGAAGGAAGAAAACTACAGAAATTAGGAGCTGGCAGCTAAGTCCCAGTGAAAAAGCAGGAAAAGGTCTCTGCTGAGCAGAACAGGACCATGGAAAACCAGCAAATCACAGAGCTGCAGAAAACACTGAGAGGGGTAAAGCTGCACAAGCTCAAAGCTCGTGGATCAGGCACGGTGGGAGATCCCAGTCCAGGACTTGCCTCGTATTTTATGTAAGGAAACGCCACAGGAGGTTCTGGCTTGATTCCCAAACTCCCACTGAGCGACAGCGGGCAGAAGAGAGAGCTGTGACGAGAGAGGTGGGCAATGCCCAGGGCTGTGTTCATCAGTCTATAAAAACTGTTCTGAGGGTCCTGTGGGGAAAAAAAACCATTGGAATATTAAGGAGAGGACAGGAACCTTTCAAAGCCAGGCTGGACACCTGGTGTTGGTTCTGCCCATGGTTTACTCACAGCCACAGCACTCAGGACTGGAGTCAGGCCCCAGGTCAGGATCCCTTTCCGTGAATACTCATCGTGGAGCAGCTCTGTCACCTTGGCACCGACTCCAGAGAATCCATTGTGAAGGTCACACAGGACCTGAAACCCCTGTGGGAAACAATGGGGACAATGCAGGAAACAGCTCAGATTCTGCTTCATCTCGAGCAGAAAGGTTCTTGAAAGCAAAGGGAGTTGGGTATGGTGTGAACCTGGAGGTAATCACACTCCTCAACATAGAAATGCAGCCGATCTTCCAGCTCCTCAACACAGGCAGGGTCCTGCAGGAGACTCTCACCTTGCCCAAAGGCTTCAAGACAGTCACAATCCCTAAGGAAAAAGGGGGTTAAGAGGGGTTATTTTACCCCTTTTATTCATCCTTGAAGTCAAAACTCAGCTGCTGTTCTGGGTTCTGGCCGTACCCATCGTGCAGGTACTGCCGGATCACGTAGACACTTTTGGGGTGCAGGTGCACGTTGAGGTAATCGGACCAGAGCCGCACGGAGGGAGCGTCCTGGGCCCCCGCAGGAGCTGCGCCTGCAGAGGGGAGAGCAAAGGTCCTTTCAGCTCTGAGCATCCCTGTGAGTGCAGAAATCACTTCTTGAACTTCTCCACGTTTTTTAGCCCATTTACTGCTCTGACCCAGCTCTCTATAAGCCAGTCTTATCTCATAGTTTTCCTTCTCCTTGTTCACTAGCAAGAAGCACAGAATTCCCACAGCAGGGGCCAGGGAATTCCGCCTTTCTGGATCTCTGATCCCAGCGAATGAACCGATCCCGCAGCGGCCCGCGCACAAACCTGTCCTCGCAGCACCGGCATTCCCCTTCCCGTCGCCGGCAGCGTCTCCCTACGGGAACAATCCCGGTTACGGGGCCGTGTCCCCGTTCCCCCGGGCAGGGAGCGGTGCGGGCCGCGCTCACCCTGCGGCTCCCGGTGTCCCCCGGCGCGCAGTCCCGGTAATCGGCCACGGGCCCGTCCCTGCGACACAAAGCGGCGGCAGCTGCGGTGTCCCCGTCCCGTTCTGTCCCGTCCCGTCCCGCCCCGCACTCACCAGGTCAGCGGCGGCTCCGTGCCCGCCCCGTCGGGTCTGAGCGAGCCCACGCCGCCTGCAAACAGAGCCCGCTCGGTCACGGCGGGGCCGCTCGGTGGCGGCGGGGCCGCCCGACCCCCCCGGCCCGCGGTACCTTTCAGCTCCAGCGCCACCAGACGCGGTGCGGGGGTCTCGGGGCCGCCCGGGCCCCGCCCGAAGCGGAGCAGCGCGGCCGCGCGGAGCTCGGCGGGCTCGGCCGGGCTGCGGAGCGCCGCGGCCTGCGGGGAACGGGGACAGCGGGACATCACAGCGAGCCCCGGGCCCGGCCCGACCTCCCCCTCCCATCCCGCGGCCCCCCCGAACCTGCAGCCCCCACCAGTGCGCCCCCACGCAGCCCGAATAGTGACCGAGCTGCAGCGTGACCGCCTCCCCCGGCATCGCCGCAGGAACCGGGAGCGCGTCACGGCGGGACCGCCCCGGACGGGCGGGGACGCGAGCGGGGGCGGGCACCGACACCGGCACCGACACGGACACCGACACGGAGAACGAGGGAACCGAGCCTTTATTGCGCTATAAGGGCCCCGCCAGCCGGTCCAGCTGCCGAGGGTTGAAGCCGCTCAGGAACTGCAGCTCCGCCTTCCCGTCCTCCGTGTGCGCTGCGAGGGAGAGAGACAGAGATTGAGGGGCTGGGGGAGAGAGGGAAGGGGAGGAGGAGAGCACGGCCCCGGGGTTTGCCCCCTCCCCGGGCACTGACCTTTCTCGTGCTGCAGCCACTTGCGCTCCAGGTAGTAGCCGTAGCAGCTCTCGAACTCCCTCGGGCTGTAGTTGGGGACCGAGATGGGCACAAAGGGGTCCAAGGCGTCAAACCCCTCCTGGGAAGGGAGGCAAGTCGGGGTCAGTGGCGGGGCTGGGTGGGGACACGGCCCAGACGCCTTGGGAGCTCAATCAGAGCTCTGTCGTGGAGTCATGGAATATCCTGAGCTGGAAGGGACCCACAAGGATCATCCAGTCCAGCTCCTGGCCATGGAGACACCCCAACAATCCCAGCCTGTGCCTGGGAGTGGTGTCCAAATGCTCCTCGAGCTCTGGCAGACCTGGGGCTGTCACCATTCCCTGTTCAGTGCCCCAGCATCCTCTGAGAAAAGAGCCTTTACCTGATACCCAGCCCAACCCTGCCCTGCCCCAGCGCCCGGCGTTCCCCTGGGTCCTGGCCTGGTCACAGGGAGCAGAAGCCAGAGCTGCAGATCCCGAGGTCTCCTTTCCGTCTCCTCTCCTCCAGCTGGACAGACCAAATGCCCTCAGATGCTCCTCATCCTCCAGACCCTTCACCACCCTCGTGTCTCTCCTTTGGACGCTCTCCAGCAGCTTCAGACCTTTATTGTGATGCCCAAACTGCTCCCAGGACTGGAGGTGAGGCTGCCCCAGCCCAGAGCAGGGACAGTCCCCTGCCTGTGCCTGGCACACCCCAGGACAGTTGGATCCCCTGGCTGTCAGGGCACTGCTGACCCAAAGGTGTGTGTGACCCACAGAGACCCTCAACAGCATCCCTTCAACAGAACCAGCTCACCAAACAAGATTTTTGTTTGTTTCCTGATGTGAAGAGGATAAAAAAACCCAAGAGGCCGTGACTCACCTTTCCCAACAACTCCTGGGGAGTGTAGGCTGAGCTGGGTTTGAAGAGTGAGCCAGTCTGGCTGAGGGTGGTCACGATGGCACCTCCACTCTGGAAGGCAGATCAGAAATAAAAAATCCTGTTAGCTGCAAACCCAGTTTAGGATCAACCTCTGAAGCATCTTCTTCTTGGAGGATGGAGCTGCTGGAGCAAGTCCAGAGGAGGCCACAAAGGTTCCAGGATGGAGCCCCTCTGCTCTGAACCAGGCTGGGAGAGCTGGGGGTGCTCACCTGGAGAAGAGAAGGCTCCAGGGAGAGCTCAGAGCCCCTGGCAGGGCCTAAAGGGGCTCCAGGAGAGCTGGAGAGGGACTGGGGACGAGGCATGGAGTGACAGGACAAGGGGAGATGGTTTCACAGTAACAGGGCAGGGCTGGATGGGATATTGGGAAGGAATTCCTGGCTGTGAGCTTGGGGAGGGCTGGCACAGGTGCCCAGAGCAGCTGGGGCTGCCCCTGAATCCCTGGAAGTGTCCAAGGCCAGGCTGGATGGGGCTGGGAGCTCCTGGGACAGTGCAAGGTGTCCCTGCTCATTGCAGGGGTGGGACTGAGTGGGCTTTAGGATCCCATTCTGGGATCTGGATTCCTCAAAAATTCTACAAGATTAACTTTTTATAACGCTCCTGACCACACTAATCCTGACTGCTCCAAGTCCATGTGAGCACAGGGAAAATACACAGCTCATGTTCCCATTAAAACTTTCCTTACCTATAATTTGGGTTTTCTATGCAGACAAGTGAAATACTTGAAAAAGGACTTTCTTATATACCTTTAAATCTGAAGCCTACTCGTTCTAGCTCTGAGCATCCAGGGGACTGAAAAAGCAGCAGGAGGAGTTGATCTCCTACAGCAAATTGTTCAGAAACCAGCTCTCATTAGTTAAATCACAACCCAAACTGTCCCAAGGACTATCAAACACCTCCAGCTCAGGGTCCTGCACCAGAGGAAGCTGTGGGGGGAATCAGGAGCCAGGAAAAGCTGCCAGAGATTCGAGCTCTTCTCCTTCTCCTCAGGTGGTGCCACAGACACTGATGCTGTGCCTGTGCTCTCCTTCAGCAGTGCTGGGCTCGTAGCTTTGGGCTGGTGGCAGCTTTAAGTGCTGGGAGTGACACAAAGGCAGAGCTGGAACTCACCCAGTCGTTCCTCAGCATCTTCCGCAGGTTGTGCACGAGCGTCAGCTCCTCTGGAGAAACCTGGTGGAGATTGTCTGCATCACTTTTTTATTGCCAGCAGCTCCTATCTGAGACACCAATTCCCCTCCTTCCAATTAGGCTGCCAGGGTCGTTTGTATCCTTCAGGCATTTTTTTTACCTTGCTTTCCTTTAGCCCTGCAGCATCGAGCCTGAGTCATGCTGCACTGAGCAACACCCAGGCCCTGCCTCTCCAACAACACCCACCTGCACTTCTGTCTCAGGGAGACAGTAAAAATTGAGTAAAAATTGTCTAAAGCACGATATGAACCTTTCCAGCCCCTCCAAAGCCTGAACATTTTCAGGGTTTGCCACAGAACTAAAACTGAACCGAACACCCTCCCTGTTCCCCCTTGCAGCAAGAATCAGGGCAGAGCTCTGGGGAATGATGAGGGGAGGAATGATGCCTTAGGATTTTAGCTTTTATATTTTTTATCTATTTGTAATGCTGCAATTCTTTGTAATAATTCTAAACTCCATATACAGTGAGCTGCTGCTTTCCCATTTTGGGCAGACACAACAATTCCTCTGCAGGCCTGGGAATCAAGGACACCTCACTGCCTCAGGAAATGGGAACAAAAGGGAGTTGGGGCAGCAAATTTGGGGTAAATGACTTCATTACCTGAAGCTGTAATTGGAAAATTAACCCCCAATATGCAAATGGACCAAACTTATAAAAATTTGAAAAGCCATGCATGACCCATCATCCATTTTAGGGCAGACCTAAAAATACCTGAAGGCCCTTCAATAAATATAACTGCTTTTTTTTTTTTTTTTTTTTTAAATTAAGGGAATGAATTCCCTTAATTTTGTCTGATTTTAGGTAGCCCCAAGAAGGCATCATCCTCACAGGGCTCTTGTCCTCCTTCCTCAGCGTGGTCCGTCCCCAGAGCGCGTTGACGCCGTCCACGGCCACGAGGAGCCGGAAGGAGCTGCGGTGACTCTGCTGCTTGATCTCCCTCAGCACCACCCCCACGGCATCAGTGGCACTCCTGACACGAGCCAGACCCTGTGGGGAGCACAGGACACAGAGCTCAGCCTGCATTTCTTGCTAGGGGGTGATGCTGGTGACTTTTGGGCTGCCCTTCTTCAGGGGAAGACAGGCAACAACCTCTTTGTTTCCTTTCCAAGGAGCAGTTTGAGCATCAAAACGTGGGAATTTCAAGTTTTAACTTTGTCTTCTGTCCAAATTCTCTGTACAGTTTTCTTTACAGACCCACCACATCCTCCAACAACAGCTTTTGTTGGTAGGGAGACACCTTCTATTTCCCAGGACTGACATCTCTAAGCTCTTGAGGAGCAATCTGTTCCACAAACACAGCCATGGGATCCTCTGGCACCAGGTGAGACCACACCAGCAGCAGTGGCTGCTCCTTACCTGCTCCACCACTTCCCCCAAAGGTCTGCCCTCCTCTGTGCTTTCTTGTTTGCCCCACATGTATTTTTTTTGTGTTTTTATCTGTGGGAAGAAAACTATGATTAAACTGGGGGTGAAAGGAGGCAAAGCAAGGCTGGATTGCAGAATCTGGGAGAAGTATCCACCACCAGCGGCCATCCCCACAGAGGGGATGTAAAGTGCTTTTCCTACAGCACCTGAGGTCCAGCACAGGGCAGTGGGTGGGGTTTGCAGCCACAAACCTCTTGCAGGAAACGTTCATTGGAGGTTTTGAAGTTCTTGAGCCAGACAGAAGCCTGCAGAGGCTGATCCAGGCGGTCTTTCTTGTAGGAAGACTGCAAAAGCTCCTTGCAGTTCTTCACCCAGAGATGAGCTGTGAACAAAATAGAACAGTTGTTTTGAATTTTATTTTATTTTTTTTTAGTCAAAATAATGGTATGGGGTGGGGGTGGTGTTTGTGTTGATTGTGCTTTTTCTGCAACTCTGGTAAGGAAAGTCAGAGAATCGTGGAATGGTTTGGGCTGGGTTAAAGATCATCCAGCCCCTGCCATGGGCAGGGACACTTTCCATGATCCCACGTTGCTCCAAGCCCTGTCCAACCTGGCCTTGAACACATCCAGGGATGGAGCAGCCCCAGCTGCTCTGGGCACCTGTGCCAGGGCCTGCCCACCCTCCCAGGGAGGAATTTCTTCTCTACATGCCATCTTATCCTGCCCTCTGGCAGTGGGAGGCCACTCCCCCACGTCCTGTCCCTTCACTCCCTTGTAAATAGTCCCTCTCCATTTTTCTTGTAGCCCCATTAGGTCCTGGAAGGCCACAATTAGGTAAACCCAGAGCCTTTTCTTCTCCAGGCTGAACAATCCCAATTCTCCCAGTCTTTCCTCACAGCAGAGCTGCTCCCCCTGATCACTCTGATCATCTTGGTGCCTCCTCTGGATTCATTTCAACAGGCCCATGTCCTTCCTGTGCTGGGACACCAGAGGTGGATGCAGCTCCATCCTGACTGGAGAACTCTTCCCTCAGGATCAGAGGAGGGCACACAGACCCCAAACAATGGAGAAAACCAGACTGACCCAAAGCACGTGTGAGCAGGTGAAAATAAATAGTTATCCTCTACTTTATTTGGGGGCTTTGTGTTTTATGAGCCTTCTCCACTAAGGGAAAACAAGGATAGATTGTGGTGGGCTATCCCCCAGCTCCTGAAGCAGCTGCTTTTGGTGTCTGGTGTGGTAACAGAGCCCTGGTTTTCTCACCATCCGGGATGTGCAGCACCAGCCAGCCCTGCCTCGAGCAGTAGTGAAGCACATGGCACAGGGTCATGGTCTTCCCTGTTCCCCTCTCACCATCTCCAACAAGGACTGTCAAGGAAAGTCTCTGAAAAAACACTTCAGCTTGTATTTGACTGTGATTCTTCCAGAAAGGACATACAGGGAGCTCAGAGCTCATCAAAACCTGCAGAGTTCCTTCTCCTTGTGCCCCACCCCAAGGAGCAGAGCTGAGGAGCCCCATGTCCTGACCCTGTTTGTAGGTCTGTGTCATCAGCTGGAATAAAGGAATAAAGGAATAAGGGAATAAGGGAATAAAGGAATAAGGGAAAAAAGGTATCTGAGCTTCCTGAAGTGCCCCGAGTCCCTGCACTGACCACAGACCACGTGGCACCACCTCCTGGAGACTGCACCAGCTCAGGGACACAAAAACCCTCTCACTGCACAAACTGCTTGTGTTTCTCTTCATCCCACCCCCAAATTAAAGGATACAGATCACATATCTGACAGCAGGGTGGGCGAAGTTGGAGCCCCTCAGGTAAGTGAGGAGCTCGAGCGCCGGCTTCCGCACCATCACACGCGCCTCGTTGAAGGTCCGGATCTGAGAAAGGAGCAGATGGCACCAAGATGCCACGAGCTGACCCAGCACAGCTGCCCCCAGCCCAGCTCCATCCCTGCCTGGAGGCTCCCAACACCCCCAGCTCTGCCCAGCAGCACCCCAGGGTTGGTGAAGCGCTGCTTCCCCTCAGTGAAAAGACCTTCTTGTCCTTCCTGTGCCCAGAAAGCGTTTTCTGGGTCAGCTGTTCCACCCTGTTCCCACAGACTGGGGTGTGGCTGAGCGGGCTGTCCATGAATCCAGCTCAGTGACCTGGATATGCACAGGTAAGGAATGTGTTCCTGACTCAGGCAGGCAGCTGCTCACAGAGCAGAGCCCAGCACAGTTCCACCACACAAATCAGGAGACAAGGTTGTTTTGTTGCAGATATAAACTGATTTTTCATGAGACAGCCTGTTTCACACAGAAATATAGCCATGGAAAATATTTCTGTAATTCATTAAGTGCTTGGATGTTAGAGATGGAAAACACTGGAATGAAGATTGCCTGAGCTGGAGCCCTCAGACTTTTCTGCTGCTGCTCTGAGTTTCAACATCTCTTAGATGTTGAAAACAACAGTGAGGGCCAGGAATAACTGCACTCTTGCTCCCCCTCATTCCAACAGGAAAACATCACAGTCACCAATGGATCTGGTTCTTCCCACACAGTCATGGAATGGTTTGGGTTGCATGGGACCTTAAAGATCATCACATCCCACCCTCTGCCATGGCAGGGACACCTTCCACTATCCCAGGCTGCTCCAACCCCATCCAGCCTGGCCCTGGACACTTCCAGGGATCCAGGGGCAGCCCCAGCTGCTCTGGGCACCCTGAGTGCATTCCCCCCAAGCTGGAATACCTGCTGCTGGAAGCGGTGGGGCAGCCCGTGGGGGAACACAGCCTTCACCTCCTCCAGGGGGATGTTGTACAGACGAGCCTCGTGCTGCTCCGTGTGCTTGGCCTGGAAGGGAAAATGGGAATTGTCACTCTGGTGATGCCTCTTTCCTGGAAGCCTGGGAGGGTGGGATGGAGGCAGTGCTCAGTCACAGACAATACTCTCTCACTGTGAGGCAGAGCAAGACAGAGCAGGAATTGTGGGGTCAGGACAGTGCTGGCAGCTGCTTTGGAAGAGGCTAAAGAGAGGAGATCCCACCTGGCACTAAATAATGAAGGGATTCCCTGAGTTTGTGTAGGAACTGTGGTGTTTTGGGGGCACCAGTGGCCCTGTGCTCCATGAATTCACCTTTCACAGTCCCCCCAAACCTTAACAGAGGTGTGACACCCTTCTGAGTTACCTGCTGGTGTCACATTCACTTTCTTTTGTGACACAATGTTGTTTTCTGCCTTGGGCTGCTCCCTCCCAGGAGTAATTCCCATGGTCCCATTTGGTTACTGGGGTTGGAGGCTTAAAACCTCAAAAAATCTCTTTTCTGGGGCAATAATTTCCAATCCTTTGTGTTGACCTCAGTGATCAGGGCTATTCCTCCACTGGACTTGAATCCTGCTGCATTTATTTCTACAGGTCTCACCATAATGACAGCAAGAAGCTGTTGTCACTGGGATCTGAGAATTTAATGCCTACTTTTTCCCCTCATTATTCTCTTTTCCTGCCATGCAATACCTGCAAAGCACTTACTTATTTCTTCTTGCCCAAGTTGTCCATTTTTGTGTCTTGTCTAATTAGGACAGTAAATAGAGATTACTCTGCAGCCCTTCCTGTGTGACTTTGAGCAGTTTTGTGCTAATCTTTGAAGCTTAGATCTCATCCTGCTCTGCATTTTACCATGGATTTAAAGTAAAAACATCCTCCTCTTTATTCTGGATATATATAAAAACTGGCATGCACAACAACAAATATAATAATTTCCTTCTTTTCTTTACTTTATGTGTGAGCATTTTTATGTGCAGGTGTGACTTCTGCTTGTTTGGCCAGGAATATTTGGCTTTTCCCAGTTCTTGATGGACTCTTCATGGACCCCTGCTGCTGTTGCATATCCATGAATTTTCTGGCTCCAGGGTGTCCTGGACTCTGTGGTCCACCTTGACACAGCTGCAGGATTTTGAGGAACTCCTGATTCAAGGAATGATTTCTAATTTGGTAACTTCAGCAAAGGCCTGAGCTGCTGGAGCTGCTAAATTTGGGTTCACTGGTCAGGAAATCTTTGTAAAAGGGGGAAATGTTAAATCCTGGCTGTTCAAAAGGTGTCCTGCAGAAAGGAGGCGTCACCTGAGGAGAACTATGAAGTGACACTTCAGGATTATTTCAAACTGTGCATTCCCTGGAATTCTGCACATGCTGCACACAGACCAACAGCACCTGTGGTTTCCCACGGCTCAAACACAAGAGCAGGACTCCAGAGCCCATTTTCATTCTCAGCTGCACCCCTGGCTTGCTGCACGATTTTGGGCAAATTCCTCCACTCTCCTACATCACGTGGGTCAGTGCTTTTATCCTCAGGGAGCTTTGCTAACAGAAAGGTACACAAACTCCGATGAAAAATTTTGTGTTTAGTGGCTTTCTTAGCCCCATTTAAATGGGATTATCTGGTGCAGGAGCTGGGGAGCAGCAGGATTTGCTGCTGGAGTGACCCAGCCAGCCCAGGGACGGCTGAAGGCGGCCGAAGCCGTGCCAAAGCTCAGGCACAAGTCAGAATGCCAGAGCCAGTTGCTTGGCAACAAAAAGGCAGGAACAGGACAGTGGGGACAATGTGGCCATCTGGCCTGTGCTGTGCAATCCATGGAGACACCGGGTCACGTGCAGCAGATCATCTCCCGCTGCCGTTTCCATAGAGACCCCGGAGGAATCGGCACCCAGAGACTCCAATTACACAGGCAGCAGAAAAGCCACCTCAAAGGCTCCTTCCATTCATTTATTCCCCTTCATTTTGTGCTTGAGACAGAGAGTGAGGCTGGAATTGTGATGCTGCAGAGCCATGCTGAGGTCATCTGGGGTGTGGTTTTCATCCCCTTCACAGCCAGCTCAGGGAGGCTCTTCCAGGGAAGAATAACCCTGGAGTTGAAATGAATGGTGTCTGATGACAGGCTGAGCCACATCCCAGCGTCTCCAACACTCTCATCAGTGCAGCTCTGGAGAAGGGATCAATGCCTGCTCCCAGGAGCTCTCAGGCAGAACAGCCCCACCCTGAGCAGGTGCCCTGTACAGCCAGGGTTGGATCCCTGGGTTAGGTCTGAGCACCCCCTTTCCCTGGCTCCCAGGATGGCCCTGGTGGCACCCAGGACACCCCTCCCTGGTGACCAGGACACAGGGACAGCACTGACAGCCACTCACCGGGTCGCTCTCGCTGGTGTGGAAAACTGCTCGGGGCCTCTCTGCCGGGACATCCTGGCTGGACACCGAGCTCAGCCCATCCCTGGCTGCCGTGTGGAGGGCACAGCCACGGTCCAGCTGAGGGGAGAACAAGGCAAAGACACAACAAAGCTCTCAGCAGCCAAGGATTGCTGGTGAAAAACAAGCCAGGGAGTCTGTTCTGAGCGCTCGTGGCACGTGTAACCCAGAGCTGAACTCTGATTGCAATTAGAATGAAAACTCATCATTAGCATGGAAATTCATCACATAAACCCACATGCTGCAGAACCAGATTTCACATTTAGATACCTGCACGGAAACCATTCCCACCTGAAGCCACCTCAGTGAGCCAAGCCCTGCACCTTCAGTTTTACCCCACAAAATTCCTTAAGATCCCACATCCAGCCATTAAGGCCTCACTGCTGGGAAGTGCCCATCGTGTTTCTGCCTACACTGAGGAGTGGCAGCACCCTGAAAATTCAGGCTGTCTAGCAATCCATAATCACCTCAATTACCCAGGGATTAGTGCAGCTCTGCCCACTGTTTGGTATTTATAATTACACTCCCTGCACTGATTTCCCTGACTGTGTCCCTGCATCCAGACTCTGGCATTAGGATACAGAGTGGCTGAGAAACCAAAACAGCCAGCTAAGCTGATTAATTCATTTTTCCCCAGACAGACTGCTGAAGCCTGCCTGCAAAGCCCAGCCAAAACAGGCAAGAAAGTGAGCAGTGGCAGGACAAGCATTTTATTATGTCGTGGTGAAAGAAAACACAAACATTTGTCAATGATTTAGGAAGTGCATCCTCCAGACAGGCTCTGGGACAAGCTGAGAGCCCCTCACAGCACTGACAGGGCCAGTTGCAGCTGAACAGAGCCAGCAGTTTCCTATTTTGTCTGGGTGAGAGCAGCAGAATGCAAAGCTCAGAGCCAGGGACAGCTGTCTCAGCTCCCCATGGCATGACACAGCTCTGCTGCCACCCCAGTGGGGCCACTGCAAAGCCACAAGGGCTCCAGTGAAAGTGGGATCACCCAGATTCCAGATGTCTGGAATGCACTTGGACACTTGCCTTCCTGTGAGGGAAGGAATGAAACCAGTCTGGACCCTCTGGAACAAACAGCTGCAGTGCAAATAAGGAGATCACCCAACACATCTTGTTCCCACAATGCCTTTTTCCTCCTCAAACTCAAATGATCCTTTAGGATGGCTTATTTGGCTCTGTTTACTTTAAAATCCACGGAGATGACAATTTATAGCCTTGAGCAAGACACAAAGATGCCAATTTAATACATGAATAAATACAGAAGGCGACTCTTGTCACCTGATCACCTAAAAAATGTCAGCCTAAGTCACTTCCAGCCTGGAATCAGAGTCCCTCTCATTTCCCTTGACCAGGGTGATCAGAGAAGCTGTGACTGCCCCTGGATCCCTGATCCAAGGCCAGCTTGGATGGGGTTTGGAGTAGCCTAAGGAAGGTGTCCCTGCCATGGATGTGGTGTGAGGTCCCTCCCAAACCATTCCATGATTCTCTGATCCCACATTCCCTCCTCCTCAAGCCCCAGGTGAGTGTGAGGGCAGAGCTTTGCTGGGAGAGCTCCCTGCTCATCCTTTCCCAGGGCTATCACACAAATCCTTATCCCTGACCAGCAGAGCTGAATGAAAACGAAGCAAGGATGAACTTCTTCTCTGTGTTCAGATTTTAGGGATGTCCAGATACAGCCTCGAGCTGAATGATGCTTCATCAAATCAATATCAGCAATCTCATGTTTTAAAAAGCCCAAACCGAGCTCAGCAGGACCTGGAATCTCCATGGGACACAAGCCAGCTCCTCATGAGTTCTCTGAAGGGAGTGGAAGTCAGAATGAAAGTGTGAAGAGACTTTGTCCTGAAGTCAAATCCTCTGGTCTTGCAGCCAAACACATTAAATTTCTATTTTTTTCCGTCAACACAGCACATCCCATCTCTAAGTGACCCTGCAATGACATTATTTTACAATTCCACTTGCAGCCTGAGCACGACAGCTCTTTCCAAAACCCCTCCTGGTGCTCTGGAGCTTTGTGTGTGTGGAAGCAGCTCCCAAGCACCTTGGGAAAGGGAATTGCTGCTCTCTGAGGTGCCACAAAGCCAGCACAGGCAGTGAGTGACTGCTCACAGCTGTCCCGAGTTCCAGAGATAAAGATTTCACATTTCAGCACTCACTGTTTCCATTTACAGCATCCACGGCCCGGAAAATCCACATTTTAAACCACCACAGATGGCTCAGGACGTTCCTGCTGAAGCTTTGATGTCCTGAGTTCAGATCAGCGAGGTGCCCCTGGATCCCTCCTCCTCCTCCTCCTGAACAAAAGCTCAGCCTGGATCCCTCGGCTTTGGAATACCAGGAACATCCATCGGGCTCTCCCATCCTCGGTGCATTTGGGGATAAGTTTCCATCTGCCCAGGGCCAGGAGTGGCATTCCTGGGATCCCTGAAATGGCAGCGAACCACCACGTGGTGCCCGAGATGGATCGGGAGTCCCGAGCCATGAGGTGGAGCTGTTCCCGCATGTTCCATGGATCCCGGGCTGTTCCCGCATGTTCCATGGATCCCGGGCTGTTCCCGTGTGTTCCATGGATCCCGGGCTGATCCTGGGCTGTTCCATGGATCCCGGGCTGTTCCCGTGTGTTCCATGGATCCCGGGCTGATCCTGGGCTGTTCCATGGATCCCGGGCTGTTCCTGCATGTTCCATGGATCCCAGGCTGATCCCGGGCTGTTCCATGGATCCCGGGCTGATCCCGGGCTGTTCCATGGATCCCAGGCTGATCCTGGGCTGTTCCATGGATCCCAGGCTGATCCCGGGCTGTCCCCGGGCTGTTCCATGGATCCCAGGCTGATCCCGGGCTGTTCCATGGATCCCGGGCTGTTCCCGCATGTTCCATGGATCCTGGGCTGTTCCCGCATGTTCCATGGATCCCGGGCTGATCCCGGGCTGTTCCATGGATCCCGGGCTGTTCCCGTGTGTTCCATGGATCCCAGGCTGTCCCCGGGCTGTTCCATGGATCCCGGGCTGTTCCCGCATGTTCCATGGATCCCAGGCTGTTCCCGTGTGTTCCATGGATCCCAGGCTGTTCCCGCATGTTCCATGGATCCCGGGCTGTTCCCGCATGTTCCATGGATCCCGGGCTGATCCCACATGTTCCATGGATCCCGGGCTGATCCCGGGCTGTTCCATGGATCCTGGGCTGTTCCCGCATGTTCCATGGATCCCGGGCTGTTCCCGTGTGTTCCATGGATCCCAGGCTGTCCCCAGGCTGTTCCATGGATCCCAGGCTGTTCCCGTGTGTTCCATGGATCCCGGGCTGATCCTGGGCTGTTCCATGGATCCCGGGCTGTCCCCGGGCTGTTCCATGGATCCCGGGTTGATCCCGGGCTGTTCCCACACATTCCACAGACCCCGGGCTCGGGAACGCGGGGCTGGTTCCGCAGAGGCTGCCCGGGAAGGGAAGCCGTGCCCAGGCAGAGCTGCGGGAGGAGGCAGCTGCAGCCGCCCCCATCGCTCCCCACATCGCTGTGCTCCAGGGGAAAAGGCTGGAAAAGGCAGCAGCAAACAACGCAGCCGGAATTCTTTTCCATCAGGAAGCAATTCCAGAGCCATGGAGCGCTGCTGCTGCTGCTGTTTAGGGTTTAAGGAGGCTCTCTGGATAACACAGCGAGTAGAGCTGCTATGGCTACACCCGGCCAAAGCACTGAGACACTTTTTGGCTCAGGAAATTAAAATAAATAAAAGGTTCTTGCCCCAGAGGGGGCTCAGGCACTGCCCAGGCTCTCCAGGGAATGGGAACAGCCCCAAGGAGCCTTTGGAGCTCCCAGCAAATCCAGGTGGGATTCTTGGGGTGTCCAGGCAGCGCCAGGAGCTGACTCCACCATCCCTGGGGGTCCCTTCCAGCTCAGGACATGATTCCATCATTTCTGGAAAAATTCTTCCCACAGGATTAGTGCAAGGCTGGTGAATTCTTCCTGTGGACATTCCAACCGTGCAGAGCAAGTGGAATAATCCCTGTTTCCTGAGGAACATGTGAGTGGAAGCTGGAGGAGCTCAGCATCCTGGTTCCCTCTCCCCAGACTCCTCAGGGAAATGTGGAAATGCTGCACCAGCTCCTTCCTCAGCCCACAGTGGGAGTTTACACCCCCAATTTAGAGGTTTTAGCTGACAAATGTAAGAAGAATCTCACTTTTTACCGCTGTAAATTGTCATTCCAGGCCATGGGAAAATTGAAATATTGGAAATAGCACCAGGCTCTTACAGGACTCACCTTCAGAGAGCGACAGACGAGTCCTTTCAGACTTCTCAGCATTTTCCTGCAGGAACAGAAATGGATATTTCAGTTGGTTTTGTTGGTGATTATCTTATGCTGGCAGAGAACTGTTTGTGTTGAAAGACACAGAAATAATTCAGACCAAGTGTCAGATGCTCTGCAGTAACACAAACTTGTGATCAGCACCACTTGCCTAAGAAAAACTATTAATAAAATAACAGAATAAAAACCATGCCATCAAAAAAAAAAAAAAAGATAAATAGTTTAAAATTAAAAATTAGTCAATTAAAATAAAGTATAAATAAAACTAATAGAAACTATTCCTTTAATTATGTGGAATTTACTCAGAGACATGAAGAGAAAAAAAAAAAACCTTTACTTTGTAAATGAAGGTATTTCATTCTTCTAGGGAGGAGAACAGTCTTTTGTTGGGATTGTCTGGGAAAGGAATTTTGAGTGCAGCTGTTAAGAGATGTCAGAGCTGCAGCAGTGATTATTGTGGAGGAATTGGAATAATGCAGAGACTGAAGGTGCCTCTGTGTCTCCAGCTTCATCCTCATCATTTACCAGCATATTTCCAACTGACAGCAGGAGGAAAAACCCAAAACAAAACATTTGAGCAGTTGTGATGCAGGAATAAAGAGTGAAAATGTCACATCTGCCACCTCTGCAAGGCCTTTTCCACAGAGCCTCCCGAGGAGAAAATCCTGACAGTGCCTAACAAGGCTGCTTTGAGAATCCCTGGGTGCAATAAGCTGCATTCCAAGGGAATATTAATTACCTTAATTCCTCAGGGAATATTAATTACCTTAATTCCTCAGGAGGAGCTGCTGCCTCGCTGGGAGTGGTGGTTACCTGCAGCAGAGCAAGACAAAGCTGCTTCACCTGCACACAACAACATTTCCACCTGTTACTGCAGGGAGGGGAAACAACCCCGCAGGGAACGCTGTGAAAACGGTTTTCATTCCTTCAACTAAAATAAACACGGGGAAAAACAACCCCCCACTCCTGCTATTTCAGGAATGAGTGAAGATCTCATCCTGCAGAGGAATTTTTAGGGATTTTACACGCCTTGCTGGTACGTGCAGCACAGCGAGGAGAAATCCTGCTCCACGTGGGAACCGCTGGCTTCACATCGCTTCTAGCTGCTAAAAAAGCAGGGATGGGAAAGCTTCTTCCACAAGAAGGAAATTAAGGAGTCACAAAGACTGAATTCTGATAATACTTTTAAACTTCGTGTTCGTTTTTTAAAAAAAATCCCGTTTATTTATTTTTTTTTAAACTTGCTGTTGACTTCTTTTTAAAACCCGCGGTTAATTTTGGGTACCCCGAAGGTTCTGACAGAATCCCTGAATGACCGAGGCGGCCGCTCTGAGCTCTGTCCCTGGGAAAGGAGCTGGAAACCGCAGCCGCTCCCCTGAGCGCACCGGGCCGGGCTCACAACAGCCCCGGTGCACCGGGAGCAACACCGGATTTCTGTGCTTTTACCACCAAAAATCAGGCAGACAACCCCAAAGGTGCATTTACAGCCATCCATCAGCGACCAGAACGCCTCGGCTCTCCAGATTAAATAAAAACAACGCCCGGTCGCTGCGGACCGAGAGCGGCGCGGCCCTCCCGGTGCCTCCCACGTGCTGCCGCGGGCTCCGTTCCCCACTCCCGGTCACACGCAGAGCCGGAGCAGCGCGGCCGCTTGGGCGGGGGGAGCGGGAGGGCGCGGTCGGCGCTCCCGAGGGCCCCGCGGTGTGTCCGAGGTGCCCGCAGTGCCCCCGCACTCACCGGGGCCCACCGGGGCCGGTCCCGCCGCCGGCGCCGCCGCAGCCCCGCGATGACGCGGCCGCTACGGGAGGCGCGGAGGGACATAAAGGGCGTGGCCACGATGGGCGCGAACGCATGGGCGTGGTCAAAGGGGGCGTGGCCTCCCCTACCTGAGGGTTCTGTAAGAGCGGCGTTAATTTGTTTAATTAATTTTATCCCGGCCGGCCCCTCCGCGCCGCGTTTGGTGGGTGCAGCGCGAAAGCTGCTCGAGGTTCGTCGCCAGGTTTTCAGAAGAGGATGGATGAAATCAGAATGTCGGGCGGGGAGGAATCGCTGTGGGTCACATCTGGTGCAGGCAGGGCCATCCCAGAGCACAGGGCACAGGATTGAGGCCAGGTGGGTCTGGGATATCCCCAGCGAGGAGGATCCACAGCCTCTCTGGGCTCTGCTCAGGGCTGGGCACTGCCCAGGGCACAAGTTCTGCCTCCTGTGCAGGGCAGATCCTGGGCTCAGCCCCTGCCCGTGGCTCTGGTGCCACTGCTGGGCCTGGAGCAGAGCCTGGCCCTGCTCTGCCCCTCCTGCACCCAGGGACAGCCAGGGATGGACAGGGACAGCCAGGGATGGACAGGGACAGAGAGGGACAGCCAGGGATATCCAGGGACAGAGAGGGACAGCCAGGGACATCCAGGGACAACCAGGGACAGGCAGAACCGAGGCCCCTCTCAGCTGGGGCTCCTCTCCAGGCTGAGCAGCCCCAGCTCCCTCAGCCTTTCCTGGGCAGGGACCCTCCGGGAGCTCCTGTCCCTGCTGTGCTGAGGATCCAGAGCTGGACACAGCACTCCAGAGGTTCCTCCAGGGCTGGGCAGAGGGGCAGCATCACTCCCTGACCTGCTGGGAATGCTCATCTTGATGCCCCCAGTATTTTGTTTGCCTTCTTGGCTTCCAGGTCACGGCGCTGGCTCAGGCACAGCCTGTTTTTCATTTCTGAGGAGTCATCTGGATCCTCAGTATTGAATTTTGCGTGCGTAGTGCAAAAGCAATTTGCTGTTCATGGTTTCATTGCCAGGTTTTCAGGTATTGACAGCTTAAATCTCTACTTCTGCAAAAACTTCACATTTCTTTCTGCTATGGGTGTTTTAGTCACAGCGATTTTTGTTCATTTGGGTTTATATATACACATTGCTGTAATACAATTTTAAAATTAATTTTTCCTATTCCTGGCAGACAATGTTTTAAAACCCTATTTAACCACAATTACAAATGGCTATAGTAATTCCCATCAGATATTGTGAGCATCACTCCATCATTCCCAAAATACAAAGGGTATGAAACAATTGGAGGAAGTCTAGTGGGGACAACAACGTAGCTAAAAGGCCTGGGAGGGTTGGGAATATTCACCCTGGAGAAGAGAAGGATCTGGGGAGACCTCAGCACCTTCCAGATCTAAAGGGGCTACATGGAAATGGAAAGGGACTCTTGGTCAGACACCACAGTGATAGGATAAGGAGCAATGGGTACAAATTGACAGAGGGAAAAGTTAGGTCACCTATTAGGAAGGAATTCCTCCGTGTGAGGGTGGGGAGGGCCTGGCAGAGGCTTCCCAGAGAATCTGTGGCAGCTCCTGGATCCCTGGAAGTGTCCAAGGCCGGGCTGGACGAGGCTTTGCGTGATCTGGTCTAGTGGAAGATGTCTCTGCCTGTGGCAGGAGGGTTGAGACTAAATGGCCTTTAAGGTCCATTCCAACCCCGTAACATCCCATGATTCCAGATCCACGAAAATACTTTAGTGACCGTGAAGTGGCAAGTGCGTGGGTGTGGCATTGAAGGCAACTTGGCTCTGTGGGTGAGGAAACCACCTGCATCACTTTGGGGCAGAAAAGCGATTTTTCCTTTTCCCGGCTTTTCCCTTTCCCGAGGCTTTTCCAGGTGGGCGTGGCCTGGATAGAGGGGCGTGGCTTTGGGGACGTGTCCAAATCGTTGTGGGCGTGGCCTAAGGGGGCGTGGTCAGGCGTGACCGCCGCGCCCTCTGCCCGCGGGGGTGCGGCCGCGTTGGGGGCGTGGCCGGGCGCGGAGTGGGCGTGGCCGCCGCCGGGGGCGTGGCCGTGCGCTCGCTCGCGGCGGAGCAGGAGCCGCCGCCATTTTGGTTCCGCCGCCTCGCTCGGCTCAGGCCCCGCCGCGGCGGCCGCTCGGTCCCGGTCCCGCCCCGGCCCCGTCCGCGCCCGGGCGGCCGCGGGGATGCGGCGCGGAGCAGCCCGTGCTCGGCCCCGGCCGCGCTGCCGCTGACACGGTGAGGAGCGGGCGGGCGGGCGGGCGGGGACTGGGACCGCCTCAGGCCCGCGGCTCGGGGGGAGGGGAGGCGCGCCGGGATCCGCCGCGGGGCCGCCCCGCACCCCCCCCCGCATCTCCCCCGTATCCCCCCGCACCTCCCCCGCACCCCCACACCGCACCCCCGCTCCCGGCCTGGTGGCGGGCGCTGGGTATCCCCGGCGACGGCGGGGGATCCCCGGGGGCGGCGGGGGGGGATCCCCAGCAGGGCCCGGAGCGCAGCGTGGACCCGTACGGGGAGCGGGGCGGGGGGTCCCTGACAGCCGGGGATGGGCCGGGGAGTCCCTGACAGCCAGGCCCGCACCGGGAGGCACCGGGGGATCCCTGACAGGGACCGCGGCGAGGGGCGGGGGATCCCCGCTGGCGGCGGGGCCCGGTGACAGGAGCGGCGGCGGCGGCGGGGCCCGGGCCCGGGGCAGCCCCCGGGGGGTGCGGGAGCCTGACAGCCCCGCTCGGACGGGTGGCGGGGCCACGGTGTCACCTGGCAGCGGCCCCGGGGCCCCTCCTGGCCCCCGCTTCCCTGCGGAGCGGGGCTGTGCCCGAGGCTGCGCATCCCCGAAGTTCTGTGTTTCCTCGGGCTCCTGCCCCGTGTGACGGGCGGGGGATGCGGGGCACGGAGCCGGGGGTCTCCCTGCTAAATATTTATGTGGTTTTTTTGGGTTTTGGGATGCTGGCTGGTTTACTGGGTCAGCGTCTTGTAGACTTTGTCTTCCCTCTTCTCCAAAATCATACTTCTGAAATTTTACTTTCATTGCATTTTTAGTCCTGTTTTAGCTTTATTGGCCGTGAATTTGGGTTTAGGTGGTTGAGCCTTATCTCTCTTTTTTGATATCTTTTTGATCTCTCACATCAAAAGCCAAAATGTGTTCCCATCCTCGTTTCTGTCTTCCGTGGTCTCTTGACTTTCTGATTCCTGGTTTTGGCCCTTGGTTTGTGGTTCTTCACCCTGTTAATTATGTAGCAGAGAACTGGAAGCTGCTTGGAATGTGGGTTTCCATGCGATGGCCTCAGGACACGCATTCACTCTCCTAGCTGTGTGTTGTCAGGAGCCAGTAAGGAAACTGGAGGTGGTGGGAGCTCTGGGAGCAGGGACTGAACCTGTGGTTTTACCCTCATCCATTGAAATCTCCTCAGTTACCATTTTCAGGAGCAGTGCATCTTCTTTCCTGGTTTGTTTTGGCTGTCCTCCTTGCAGTAATTTAGATTGCACCTGCGGGTGTTGGGTTTTGGGGTGAATCCTGTAAAACTCGTGTTTCCCGTGGTCATCCTTGAGGACCTTGGGATCATCCCTGTTGCCTCTGTGGGAAACGGGGAAGTTCTGGCAGCTGCTTGAACATATGGGGAGAGATGGGCTCTAAAATCATCATCTGTCTGCCTGCTTGAGTTCTTAAGAAGTGTTCTTACTCAAAGCTTTTCTCAGCTGTCTGAGAGTATAAAAGAGAGACTTTCTTTTTTTTTCATTTTGAAGAGTTCTAAGTCTGAAACGTCTTGGTTTAAAAGACAAAATTACCACAACTTCTTTTTGGACTTGATTTCATTGCTACAGGCAGTCGGCAGTTGCCTAAAAAGGTTTGAGTGATAATAACCAGTGACAAAATTTGTGTTACAATTTCCAGAAGAAGCTTTCTTTTTCCAGTTGTTTTCAGAAGTTTAAACTGTCCTGAAGGATATAAAAAGCAGTTTTTATCCTTGGTGGAAGAGACAGACATAGTGGTAAAAATGGGAATACTGTTTTCACAAGAGAAAAGTGGCAATAGCACATGTAGTTACTGAATTAAAGGTATTTTTAAATAGATATTGTTGTCTATGGAATTTTTAAAAATTAAATTAATTTCTGCTGCTGTTGGAAGGGCTGGTGCTGTTGTAGACACATTCTCCCACTTTGGTGAGGTCATGAGTCCCATCCCCAGCTTGCAAAGGGGGGAAAAAAATCTGTCATGAGACCTACTGTGATTATTCTGTGAAAGCAAAATCTTTGTTTTTCCCCGGTTTTCTGTCCGTTACCTGTGGCACAGGTGTGCCCATTCTGGCACTGGGATGGGTTGGGAATAACCAAAGGAATCTGTCTGGAGTTAAAGGAGAAGTGCTGGTTTGCTGTGACCCTTATCTTTTAGTGGATGGAAATAAATAAATGAGATTTGTCCAGAAAAATCCCCTGGAAGGCACTGGATGTAGAGACCTCTCAGGGAGCTCCTGACTCACACTGTAGCACATGGGATAATATTTTAGGAGAGTTCCCAAACTGCTTTTCCCTCGGCAGTCAGCGTTGGCTGATGTTGGCACTCACAGCCTAAGGGTGGAGGAACCTTTGCTCCCATCAAACACGGGTTGGTTATGCAGATTTTAGCAATTTTGCTTTTATTTGCATATGAATAGAATTACCCTGCACCTCCAAATTCAGCCCTGTGATTCCAGACCTGCAGTCAGGGTGTCAGCTGGGGCCAGGTTAAAAACCAGGAGAAACTCTATCTCTGCTTCCCAATTTTCCTCCCACCAGAGCACACTCGCAGGGTGTTCTCATGTCTGTCCTCTGCCTTCCTTCCCACAAAACTCCTGTCCTGCTCTGCTTTCCCTGAGCGTGGCCTCTGCTCCCAGCTGTTCTGTGGAATATTCTTCCTGACAAGACAGGTCCCCTGGGATTTCTGTCTGTCAGAAACGCATCCAGCAGATTCTGATTGGAAAGTGTTTCATTTATTACCTCCTGTAACGCAAACAGGAACTTTATTCCTGATGCCTCC